CCTTAAGAAACCATGATACGATTTGGGTAGTGGTTGATCGGCTGACAAAGAGCGCTCACTTCTTAGCAATGCRTGAAACRCTGCCCATGGAGAAGCTTGCMAAATTATACATCGACGAAGTAGTCTCAAGACAYGGTATACCGTTGTYAATAGTATCGGACCGAGATAGCCGATTCACATCCYATTTYTGGAGCGGCTTACAGAAAGAGTTGGGAACGAGGGTGAAGTTGAGTACAGCTTACCATCCCCAAACCGATGGTCAAAGCGAGYGAACCATTCAAACCCTTGAAGACATGCTTAGATCATGTGTTATCGATTTTGGCGGGAATTGGGATTGTCACCTACCCCTGGTGGAGTTCKCCTACAACAATAGTTATCATTCCAGTATCGGAATGGCCCCTTTCGAGGCGTTGTATGGGCGAAAATGTAGAACTCCAGTGTGTTGGCTAGAAGCGGGAGAGAAACAGTTTGCTGGTCCCGAGATCGTTCAGGAAACGGCCRACAAGGTGAAGAGTRTACRGGAACGCTTAAAGGCGGCCCAAGATCGACAAAARAGTTACGCGGACAAGAGGAACCGACCTATGGAATTCCAAGTGGGCGACCKTGTGCTGCTAAAGGTGTCCCCTTGGAAAGGAATTATCCGCTTCGGAAAGCGCGGGAAGCTGAGTCCCCGTTTCCTGGGACAATTTAAAGTTCTAGCTAGGGTAGGAYTGCAAGCTTACAAATTGGAACTACTCCCTGAGATGGCCGAAATCCACAACACATTTCATGTGTGTTACCTACGTAAGCGTTTGGCGGAAGAAGAAAGTGTAATACCACTTTCGGAAATTCATGTGGACAAGGACAAACGATGTATTGAAGAGCCGGAAGTCATCTTGGAAAGGAAAACCAAAACGTTGAGACACAAAGAAATTGTTATGGTTAAAGTTCAGTGGAAGCATCACAGAGGGTCAAACGTGACCTGGGAGGCAGAGGAGGACTTGAGGAGGCGTTACMCTCACCTTTTCACGTGAATGAAAATTTCGAGGACGAAATTTAATCTTAGGTGAGGAGGATTGTAACACCTGGAATTTTCTTTGCTTTCTTTTCTTTAATCCGATCACGTTAGTAATCCTTATCTCCATCTCCGTCTCATCAGCGTGTGGTAGGCGTGCTCTAAGTCAATATATATATATATATATATATATATATATATTTCTTTTATATTACTTTTACCTATTAGGAGTTAGGCCCTCTTTGTTTTTATTTACTTATGTACTTCTAATAAAGAAAAAAGGAGAATGCATTTCATGAACTTTGGATTTGAATGAATTATCTAAAAGGGTTTATTTCTTGAAAGGGGGGGGGGTATTACCCTCTACATCTTAGTCCTAACCCTTAGATTTTTCCACCCCATGGGAGATTTTTCCTATAGACTTAGAGTCCTTACCTGCAGATTCTATTTTGGAAGGAGGGTTATGCTTATATTCA